CTCCACCCACCACACAGTGCTGCAGCTGCCTCCACCCACCACACAGTGCTGCAGCTGCCTCCACCACACCACAGTGCTACAGCTGCCTCCACCCACCACAGTGCTGCAGCTGCCTCCACCCACCACACAGTGCTGCAGCTGCCTCCACCACACAGTGCTGCAGCTGCCTCCACCCACCACACAGTGCTGCAGCTGCCTCCACCCACCACACAGTGCTGCAGCTGCCTCCACCCACCACACAGTGCTGCAGCTGCCTCCACCCACCACACAGTGCTGCAGCTGCCTCCACCACACCACAGTGCTACAGCTGCCTCCACCCACCACACAGTGCTGCAGCTGCCTCCACCCACCACACAGTGCTGCAGCTGCCTCCACCCACCACACAGTGCTGCAGCTGCCTCCACCACACCACACAGTGCTGCAGCTGCCTCCACCACACCACACAGTGCTGCAGCTGCCTCCACCCACCACACAGTGCTGCAGCTGCCTCCACCCACCACACAGTGCTGCAGCTGCCTCCACCCCACCACACAGTGCTGCAGCTGCCTCCACCCACCACACAGTGCTGCAGCTGCCTCCACCACACCACAGTGCTACAGCTGCCTCCACCCACCACACAGTGCTGCAGCTGCCTCCACCCACCACACAGTGCTGCAGCTGCCTCCACCACACCACAGTGCTACAGCTGCCTCCACCCACCACACAGTGCTGCAGCTGCCTCCACCCACCACACAGTGCTGCAGCTGCCTCCACCACACCACACAGTGCTGCAGCTGCCTCCACCCACCACACAGTGCTGCAGCTGCCTCCACCCACCACACAGTGCTGCAGCTGCCTCCACCCACCACACAGTGCTGCAGCTGCCTCCACCACACCACAGTGCTACAGCTGCCTCCACCCACCACACAGTGCTGCAGCTGCCTCCACCCACCACACAGTGCTACAGCTGCCTCCACCCACCACCCAGTGCTGCAGCTGCCTCCACCCACCACACAGTGCTGCAGCTGCCTCCACCCACCACACAGTGCTGCAGCTGCCTCCACCCACCACACAGTGCTGCAGCTGCCTCCACCCACTGTAACACGGGTTCGGGTTCCTCTCTCTTTACTTCCTTCTTTCTACTCCCTCTACCCGTATTCTTACTTTTATTTCTAAACCAAGGGACTCCAAAACTTTTACCAAAGCCAACTCCACGCCACGTGGTCCTAAGACGATTGACCGACTTAGGATTCTACACCCAGTATGACGTGACCTAAGCTCTGAACAAAACCCTAGAGTCACCTCTGCTGCCACCACCAGACCAGTAATACAAGAGCAATGATCGAGGTCTGGATCGATCACGCTAATTAATCAACCTAGGGGCTTGATCCCCACTATAAACGATGACCTTGAGTGTGGAATAAATTACACGGTAATGATAATTCCGATTCGATGTTAGAATCGGCGCCCAATGCAACTCTGCCTCGTGTGGACCACGTGACCAGGACAAGTATACACATAAAACACATGGAAACAATAAAATGCAAATTAATAACAAATTTAATTTATTAAAAGAAAACTAAAACAAAAATCTAAATATGTTCACTCCCTATTACTTTAACACTCCCTACTTGACCTGAGTGGCAAATGAGAAGACTATTTCTATAATTAACAATAGCAACTATACCTTGGGCGACCAGCTAGATGTCTTGGCTGGTCTAGGGGAGAGGTAAGATGTTTGACCTCTCCTAGCTGCTTCCGTGACCACACTGATTTTTTTCCTTGTCTGGACTACCCCAGACAGAGTATTGTATTGTTCCGCATCGCTTACCCAGTTACTTTAGCAAGGTTAAGTTATAACAATTAAACTCTGTTGTACTTAATTGATCCAGACTGGTTGAATTATTTTACTGAATTAAATTACAAACATCTAACGGCAGAGCTGTTCCCGATCCCCAAAATGGTTAATAAAACTTTGAGAAATAGTAGACCTGTCAACCCCTGATGACCTATGACCGCCGGTCACTCCGCCTTAAAAGTTAGATCCGATTCGTGACGTCACTGATGGTGACTTAAACTCAATAATTAGAATACTCTTGATATTGTATCCAGTACTATTATACAATACAATTTTAATGCAAAATGAATAAAGGCTAATTTTCTCTAAATTACTGAATACTATAGGATGATTCATTATACGCAGATATGAACAAAGCGTCGGTTATTTCCACCGCGAATTCCCCTGGGGTCAGGTCACCATGCGGCTCAGCTTCCCATTCTCTTTTGTCGATAAACCACTCTGGATAATTCTTACAACAGCCTAGTTTGTTACAGCACCCACACAGTGCTGCAGCTGCCTCCACCCACCACACAGTGCTGAGCAGCTGCCCTCCACCACACCACAGTGCTACAGCTGCCTCCACCCACCACACGTGCTGCAGCTGCTCCCAGCTGCACTCCACCACCACAGAACAGTGCTGCAGCTGCCTCCAACCCACACCACACAGTGCTGCAGCTCCCTCACACCCACACACAGTGCTGCAGCCCACCACACAGTGCTGCAGCTGCCTCCACCACCCACCACACAGTGCTGCAGCTGCCTCCACCACACCACAGTGCTACAGCTGCCTCCACCCACCACACAGTGCTGCAGCTGCCTCCACCCACCACACCACAGTTGCTGCAGCTGCCTCCAACACACCACACAGTGCTGCAGCTGCCTCACACCCACCACACAGCCTGCTGCAGCTGCCTCCACCCACCACACAGTGCTGCAGCTGCCTCCACCCCACCACACAGTGCTGCAGCTGCCTCCACCCCACCACACAGTGCTGCAGCTGCCTCCACCTCCACCACACAGTGCTGCAGCTGCCTCCACCCACCACACAGTGCTGCAGCTGCCTCCACCCACCACACAGTGCTGCAGCTGCCTCCACCCCACCCACAGTGCTGCAGCTGCCTCCACCCACCACAGTGCTACAGCTGCCTCCACCCACCACACAGTGCTGCAGCTGCCTCCACCCCACACCACAGTGCTGCAGCTGCCTCCACCCACCACACAGTGCTGCAGCTGCCTCCACCCACCACACAGTGCTGCAGCAGCTGCCTCCACCCACCACACAGTGCTGCAGCTGCCTCCACCCACCACACAGTGCTGCAGCTGCCTCCACCCCACCACACAGTGCTGCAGCTGCCTCCACCCACCACACAGTGCTGCAGCTGCCTCCACCCCACCACAGTGCTGCAGCTGCCTCCACCCCACCACAGTGCTGCAGCAGCCTCCACCCACCACACAGTGTGCCAGCTGCCTCCACCCACACACAGTGCTACAGCTGCCTCCACCCACCACACAGTGCTGCAGCTGCCTCCACCCACCACACAGTGCTGCAGCTGCCTCCACCCACCACACAGTGCTGCAGCTGCCTCCACCCACCACACAGTGCTGCAGCTGCCTCCACCCACCACACAGTGCTGCAGCTGCCTCCACCCACCACACAGTGCTGCAGCTGCCTCCACCACACCCACAGTGCTACAGCTGCCACCCACCCACCACACACATGCTGCAGCTGCCTCCACCCACCACACAGTGCTGCAGCTGCCTCCACCACACCACAGTGCTACAGCTGCCTCCACCCACCACCCAGTGCTGCAGCTGCCTCCACCCACCACACAGTGCTGCAGCTGCCTCCACCCACCACACAGTGCTGCAGCTGCCTCCACCCACCACACAGTGCTGCAGCTGCCTCCACCCACCACACAGTGCTGCAGCTGCCTCCACCCACCACACAGTGCTGCAGCTGCCTCCACCCACCACACAGTGCTGCAGCTGCCTCCACCCACCACACAGTGCTACAGCTGCCTCCACCCCACCACACAGTGCTGCAGCTGCCTCCACCCACCACACAGTGCTGCAGCTGCCTCCACCCACCACACAGTGCTGCAGCTGCCTCCACCACCCACGAACAGTGCTGCAGCTGCCTCCACCCACCACACAGTGCTGCAGCTGCCTCCACCCACCACCCAGTGCTGCAGCTGCCTCCACCCACCACACAGTGCTGCAGCTGCCTCCACCCCACCACACAGTGCTGCAGCTGCCTCCACCCACCACACAGTGCTGCAGCTGCCTCCACCACACCACAGTGCTGCAGCTGCCTCCACCCACCACACAGTGCTGCAGCTGCCACCACCCACCACACAGTGCTGCAGCTGCCTCCACCCACCACACAGTGCTACAGCTGCCTCCACCCACCACACAGTGCTGCAGCTGCCTCCACCCACCACACAGTGCTGCAGCTGCCTCCACCCACCACACAGTGCTGCAGCTGCCTCCACCCACCACACAGTGCTGCAGCTGCCTCCACCCACCACACAGTGCTGCAGCTGCCTCCACCCACCACACAGTGCTGCAGCTGCCTCCACCACACCACAGTGCTACAGCTGCCTCCACCCACCACACAGTGCTGCAGCTGCCTCCACCCACCACACAGTGCTACAGCTGCCTCCACCCACCACACAGTGCTGCAGCTGCCTCCACCCACCACACAGTGCTGCAGCTGCCTCCACCACACCAACACAGTGCTGCAGCTGCCTCCACCCCACCCACAGTGCTGCAGTGCTACAGCTGCCTCCACCCACCACCCAGTGCTGCAGCTGCCTCCACCCACCACACAGTGCTGCAGCTGCCTCCACCCACCACACAGTGCTGCAGCTGCCTCCACCCACCACACAGTGCTGCAGCTGACTCCACCCACCACACAGTGCTGCAGCTGCCTCCACCCACCACACAGTGCTGCAGCTGCCTCCACCCACCACACAGTGCTGCAGCTGCCTCCACCCACCACACAGTGCTGCAGCTGCCTCCACCCCACCACACAGTGCTGCAGCTGCCTCTATTAGGGTCCCTGGTGAGATCATGTCCGGGCCCGTGGCTCTCACCACATCCAGCTCCTCTAGTTGTCTCTTTACTTCCTCTCATGTTATTTCGATGTCAATCAGTCTGTCCTCTGGTAGCGCCTATTCTATTACAGGTCGTAGGTCTTGGAACAGTTCCCTTTCACTCTTAGAAACATAGAAACTTGGAAGGTTTTATTGCATTCTTCGCACACTTCCTTATTATTCTTGATATAGCTTTCTCCTCTTTTGTGTAGCGTGATCACTTGTACGATGACCAACACCTTCCGCCTCACGTGGCTACATAGTAGTTTAGGGTGATCCTTGGCCTCGGATGGTTTAGGGTGATCCTTGGCCTCGGATGGTTTAGGGTGATCCTTGGCCTCGGATGGTTTGGGGTGATCCTTGGCCTCGGATGGTTTAGGATGATCCTTGGCCTCGGATGGTTTAGGATGATCCTTGGCCTCGGATGGTTTAGGATGATCCTTGGCCTCGGATGGTTTAGGGTGATCCTTGGCCTCGGATGGTTTAGGGTGATCCTTGGCCTCGGATGGTTTAGGGTGATCCTTGGCCTCGGATGGTTTAGGATGATCCTTGGCCTCGGATGGTTTAGGGTGATCCTTGGCCTCGGATGGTTTAGGATGATCCTTGGCCTCGGATGGTTTAGGATGATCCTTGGCCTCGGATGGTTTAGGATGATCCTTGGCCTCGGATGGTTTAGGATGATCCTTGGCCTCGGATGGTTTAGGATGATCCTTGGCCTCGGATGGTTTAGGGTGATCCTTGGCCTCGGATGGTTCAGGGTGATCCTTGGCCTCGGATGGTTCAGGGTGATCCTTGGCCTCGGATGGTTCAGGGTGATCCTTGGCCTCGGATGGTTCAGGATGATCCTTGGCCTCGGATGGTTCAGGGTGATCCTTGGCCTCGGATGGTTCAGGGTGATCCTTGGCCTCGGATGGTTCAGGGTGATCCTTGGCCTCGGATGGTTCAGGGTGAACCTTGGCCTCGGATGGCATCCTTGGCCTCGGATGGTTTAGGATGATCCTTGGCCTCGGATGGTTTAGGGTGATCCTTGGCCTCGGATGGTTTAGGATGATCCTTGGCCTCGGATGGTTTAGGATGATCCTTGGCCTCGGATGGTTTAGGGTGATCCTTGGCCTCGGATGGTTTAGGATGATCCTTGGTCTCGGATGGTTTAGGATGATCCTTGGCCTCGGATGGTTTAGGGTGATCCTTGGCCTCGGATGGTTTAGGGTGATCCTTGGCCTCGGATGGTTTAGGGGATCCTGGCCTCGGATGGTACTAGGATGATCCTTGGCCTCGGATGGTTTAGGATGATCCTTGGCCTCGGATGGTTTAGGGTGATCCTTGGCCTCGGATGCTATATCATTCGTCTCTGTCACCCTCCGGATTCGTGTGTATTCATTCCTGTGACTCGTTTACATGTTGTGGTGGTTCTGTGTGGGTGGGGGCTCCCTGTACTTGTCCAAGCTCCTTTACTTCTATAATGTTGACTGTACATTTTACATTAAACCATGACAACTCTGAGTGTCTGAGTATGTGTGTGTGTGTTTTGTGTGTGCATTTATTATTACTATTTGTGTCTACAGAATCGACCTATTAGCTCTTGGACACCGCCTTTCTAACCAATCTATTTTTCCTCTATCTACTAAATATATTTCTCTCTAACACACACAGACACACACACACACACATATCCCCAGGAAGCAGCAGTAAAACTGCCAGGTACCTATTTTACTGGTAGGTGAATAGGTGCATCAGGGTGAACTAAACTTTGCCCATTTGTTTCCGCCTTCACCGGAAATCGGACCCGGGCCATGAGGACTACGGTCCCCAAACGCTATCCACTCAGCCGCGTGTCCTCTATTAATGACATAGGGGTCTGTAAATGTGAAGAAATTTCCAAATGGACATTTGGAAATGTTTAAACATGGTTTGAAATACGCGTGTGTGTATGTTTTCACCTAGTTATATTCACCTTGTTGTACTGGCGGGGGTTGAGCTCTGCTCTTTCGACCTCCCTCTCAACTGTCAATCATCTGTTACTTACTACTAACTGTTACTTACTTACTAACTAACTTCACACACACACAAGAAGCAGCCCGTAACAGCTCTCTAACTCCCAGGTACCTATTTACTGCTAGGTAATAGGAGCATCAGGGTGAAAGAAACTCTGTCCATCTGTTTCCTCCGGCACCGGGAATCGAACCCCGGCCCACAGGATTACGTATCCCACGTGCTGTTCACTCAGCCACCAGCGCCCTACTTGAAGGGCTTGTGTGTAAATAACTGTGAGTGTGTCAGTGAGAATATCTTTTCAGGAGTACTTACCTAGTTGTACTTGTGGGGGTTGAGCTCTGGCTCTTTGGTCCCGCCTCTCAACTGTCAATCAACTGGTGTACAGGTTCCTGAGCCTACTGGGCTCTTATCATATCTACACTTAAAGCTGTGTATGGAGTCAGCCTCCACCATATCACTTCCTAATGCATTCCATTTGTCTACTACTCTGACACTTAAAAAATTCTTTCTAACGTCTCTATGGCTCATTTGGGCACTCAATTTCCACCTGTGTCCCCTAGTGTGTGTGCCTCTTGTGTTAAAAAGTTTGTCTTTATCTACCCTATCAATTCCTCTGAGAATCTTGTATGTGGTGATCATGTCCCTTCTAACTCTTCTGTCTCCCAGTGACGTGAGGTTTAATTCCCGTAGTCTCTCCTCGTAGCTCATACCCCTCAGTTCGGGTACTAGTCTGGTGGCAAACCTTTGAACCTTTTCCAGTTTAGTCTTATGCTTGACTAGATATGGACTCCATGCTGGGGCTGCATACTCCAGGATTGGTCTGACTGACTGAGGAGTGTGTGTGTGTGTACTCACCTAATTGTGCTTGCGGTGGTTGAGCTTTGTCTCTTTGGTCCCGCCTCTCAACTGTCAATCAACTGGTGTACAGGTTCCTGAGCCTACTGGACTCTATTATATCTACATTTGAAACTGTGTATTTAGTCAGCCTCCACCACATCACTGCCTAATGCATTCCATTTATTAACTACTCTGACACTGAAAAAAATATTTCTAACGTCTCTGTGGCTCATCTGGGTAGTAAGTTTCCACCTGTGTCCCCTTGTTCGTGTTCCACCCGTGCTAAAGAGTTTGTCTTTGTCCACCCTGTCAATTCCCCTGAGAATTTTGTAGGTGGTTATCATGTCTCCCCTTACTCTTCAGTTTTCCAGGGACGTGAGGTTCACCTCCTTTAGCCTTTCCTCGTAGCTCATACCTCTCAGTTCCGGGACGAGCCTGGTGGCATACCGCTGAATCTTCTCTAACTTTGTCTTGTCTTGTGTCTTTGTTTCTTGTGTGTGTGTGTGTGTGTGTGTGTGTGTGTGTGTGTGTGTGTGTGTGTGTGTGTGTGTGTGTGTTTAAAAATAAAAAGTAGAATTTTCATGCGAACACTCCCGAGCAAAGGGATGAAAAAAGAATGAGCGGGAAAGTAATTGCAAAAGAGTCTCCCCCCCCCCCTACCCAGGCGCGGTGCCATGGAGGTGTGGATGGCAACAACGGGGGGCGACGCCCCCGCTGGCTATGGCAAACTGATCGTCCTACTCAATCTTGCAACACAAAATGGCGCATGGGTGGCGGAGGCAATTATTGCAAGATAATGTATTACAACGCGTCGCGAGTGAGAGCATTTTAGTGGTGTTTGGGTGCACCAATTTCTGGCCTCATACGCGAACCTGAAGAGTTGAGACTCAGCTCTTGGACCCCAATAATTACGGCTGCCGTAAGTTTGACTAAAATGACAAATAGGACACATGTTTATAAGACCTATTTGTTCTATAAGGATTTAATGAAAAAATTGAGGACATTTCGCTTTTGTTCTTGTTAATTCCATTTCCCAATTACTCTCACGGCAGTTAGTACTTTCTCACAGCACTGTGGCTAATCTGTATCTCCAACTTCAATCCAATTCTTCTTTCTCCACCTTGCCAATTCTCCTAAGTATTTTACATGTCTCTAACATGTGTCATTTCTTTCTTCTCATTTCTTGCGCCATTAGCTTTAGTTCTTTCTATTTTTGTCCAGTCTCCATAATTCTGTAACGAGCAAAACTCTGTACATCAGTTTTTATTATGCAGTGTTTGATGTGGGGAATTTAACGAGGGAACTGCTTAAGTAGACCAACTACATTATGTTCCTGTTATGCTGCTGTTATGCTCCTGTTATGCTGCTGTTATGCTGCTGTTATGCTGCTGTTATGCTGCTGTTATGCTGCTGTTATGCTGCTGTTATGCTGCTGTTATGCTGCTGTTATGCTCCTGTTATGCTCCTGTTATGCTGCTGTTATGCTGCTGTTATGCTGCTGTTATGCTCCTGTTTTGCTCCTGGTATGCTGCTGATATGCTTCTGTTATGCTGCTGTTTTGCTCCTGTTACGCTCCTGTTTCCGGCCCCAATTTTCATGGGGCTGTTCATGTGAAAATACACATTTCTCAGACCATCTCTACAGTCTGGCCAGATTTTTATCAAGCCTTCTGTAATCTTCCTCTATCAATTCTTCTGATTAATTGTGCAATGCCCACCAGCATGGACACGTACGTCAATTTCACGATGGTTTGGTTATTCTGAGACACGGGGAACAGTGTGGTACCTAAGACAGGTTATTGGGGAGAAGTTGAAGTTGTCTCTGAGGTGCCCTTCTGACTCTGGAGTATTAAGTTGACCAAACCTCACACTAGAAATTGAAGAGGCGACGACGTTTCGGTCCGTCCAGGACCATTATCAAGACTATCAACTTGATAATGGTCCAGGACGGACCGAAACGTCGTCGTCACTTTAATTTCTAGTGTGTGGTTTGGTACACATTTTTCAGCCACGTTATTGTGACTAATCATCTGCATCTGGTGTATTAATTTATGTTTCTTTTATATGTGTCTCTATTGTCCTCCGTCCCCTAGCTCTCTGTAATTGTCCTCCGTCCCTAGCTCTCTGTAAATTGTCCTCTGTCCCCTAGCTCTCTGTAAATTGTCCTCCATCCTCTAGCTCTCTGTAAATAATTCTTAACCCCCTAGCTCTCTGTAAATTGTCCTCCGCCCCCTAGCTCTCTGTAAATTGTCCTCCGACCCCTAGCTCCCTGAAGGAAGAGAGGAAAGAAGACCATTGAGGGCAACCAGAAAAAGAGTAGTGCTCAGAACACTACCCTGGGGCACTCCTACGTATTGCTGAGAAGAGGCAGAGAGAGCGGTACCAAGTCGCACCCGAAAGGAACGACGAGAGAGGAAGCTGCAGAGAAAGAGAGGCAGATGACCACGAAGGCCAAAAGAATGAAGCTGGGATAGAATATGATATCGCCAAGTGGTGTCGTAAACTTTTTTCAAGTCAAAAAGGACGGCAACAACGGAGGTCTTCGCAGCAAAAGCAGTACGAATACAGACCTACAAGTTCACCAGGACATCTGTCGTGCTGCAGCACTTGCGGAAACCAAATAGAGAAGAGGAGAGGAGGTGATGGTGTTCCAGGAACCATATCAGACGAACGTTAACCATACGTTCAAAGAGTTTGCAGACACAACTTGTGAGGGCAATAGGGCGAAAGGCCTTAGGGGATGTTCCCAGAGACCCCGGTTGGTGAACAGGGAGGACAACGGCATCGAGCCAGTCCTCAGGGACTGACGACGACTCCCAGATCCGATTATACACACTCAGTAAATACTGAGACGTGCACGGAGGGAGATGGCGAAGCATCTCATAATGAATACCATCGGAGCCCGCCGCCGTAGAACTGCAGAGGGCCAGGGCAGAACGAAGTTCAGAGGAGAGAAGGGATCGTTATAGGGAAGTCGAAGATGAGTGCAGATATCTAAAGGACGAGACTCAAGGACAGGTTTACGAAGAAGGAAAGATTGGGGAAGATGAAGACCAGACCTAACAGAAGAAAAGTGGGAACCCAGTTCGGAAGCGACCTGCAACGGGTCCGCCACTAGAGTATCATGGAGGTGAAGGACCGGTGAAACATCGGGAATGAATTTACCCGCTATCTTGCGGATACGCTTCCAGATCTGTGGCAGGGGAGTTTCGGACGTAATGGTGGAGACATAAGATGCCCAACATTCACTTTTAGCCGTACGGACGGCCCTACGGGCCACCGCACTCGCCTTCCGAAAGAAAAGAATCGGCCGTCTGCCGACGGCGGTGTCTCTTCCAGGCTGCACACTTACAGTGGACAGCCCGAGCACAGTCTGCATTCCACCAGGGAACACACTTCCGTGGACCCCGAGAGGAAGAGCAAGGAATAGAGTGGAGGGCAGCGTCGAAGACAGTGGCATGAAAAGGGAGGAAAGAGCAAAGGAGAGGCAGAAGGGAGAGGTCAGAGAGAGCAGCACTGAGGGTAAAGAGGTTCCAGTCCGCTTTCGCAAACTGCCACCTAGGGAAGGAGAGGGGAGGGCGAAAAGAGAAATAGGTAATAACGATGGGGAAATGGTCACTGCCATGGAGGTCATGAAGAACCTGCCACGTGAAATCTAAGTAAAGAGAAGACGAGCCAAGATCAAGACAGGAAAGGGTGCGAGTCCGAGAGTCCAAATGTGTGGGTTCACCAGAATTCAGAAGAAACAGGGAAGAAGAGAGGATAAACGGATCAAGAAGGCGACCCCAGGTGTCCGTCAGAACATCACCCCAAAAGGAATGACGCCAATTGAAATCACCCAGCAGGAGCACAGGCTCCGGCTAGGAGTCCAGTAGGTGTTTCAGATCAGGAAGAGAAAGCGGGACACTCGGGGGGAGATAAATGGAACAAACCGTGTACCATTTCCCCACAAAGATACGAATAGCAGAACAATGGAGAGGCAAAGGAAAAAGTAAGGGGACAAAGGGAACATCAGAGCGAATCAAGAGAGCAGAAGAGTTAGGAGCCCCAGCAACAGCTGGGGGAGGGAGGGGGGAGAGAAAGGAATAGCCACGAAAGCGACCAGGACGAGCACCAAGCATCGGCTCCTGGAGACAGACACAAAGGGGTAAAAATCACGAAATCAGAAGTTGGAGTTCAAGGAAATTGGCGTAATAACCTCGAACGTTCCAGTGAAGAATAGACATCGACGAGAGGAGAAAGGACAACAACAGAGAACAAGGAAGAAACAAAGGCGAAAGAGCAACATAGCACGTTACAGAAGATCAGGGTCGGGATCAAGGTCAGCAAAGTCAGGGTTAGGGGGCATGGGTAAACTGAGCAAAGACGGAGGGAAGGAAGCGAGATAACAGACCAGAGGTGGGCGGGCGGGTCCGGAGGAGGAGGAGGAAGAGGAGGAGGCAACCGAGAGGAGTAGTCAAGGACAGCAGCAGGAAGAGGGAGAGTAGAAAGAGGGGAGCGCACCTCAGCAGGGGCAGCAACCGAGAGGGAAGCGGGGGCCAAAGAAACCTCCATAGCAGGAACAGGGGGCGCAACCACTGTAATGGGAGGGGAAGGGGCGATAGTCAGAAGTAGGGGTCAAGGAAGAAAGCGAAGCCTTTTTACCCGCCGGGGAGGAGGAAGGAGAGGAGCCAGGCTTACGCTTCTGACCTAAAGAGACTGGTGTCCCAGTAACTACGTACTGGGCAACAGATTCCAGTGTCTCAACAGGAGAAGCTAAACGAGAGCACACACGACGGCCGGTAGGAGAGCGAGGGACATCAGCCCGCACTGACAGGTGGCGGGGAGAGTCAATAGTTGGAAGAGAAGGATGGGAAGGAGGATCGGAGTGAGACGAGGAAGAAGACACAGGAGACATGACAGACCGAGCAGAAAGAAGGGGAACCCCAGACAGAGGACCAGGAGGGGGACCCTTCGGGACAGAACTCAAAGGAACAGAGGAGCGGACAGTGGGTGTATCAGGGTCCAAGGCACGGAAACGGTTGTGGGTCTGTGGAAGGTGGGAAGGACGAGGAGAGGAAGAGCGCAACACGTGAGCATAAGAGACGTTAGCAAGGCGGGAGCCGGCGAACCTGGCGCTATGCCTCAGGAAAAGATAAACGCTCCCAGTGCTTCAAGTTGAGGACGGCTGCCTCAAGCTTGTAATGGATACAGGCACAGGAGAAGGTAGGATGGGCCTCACCGCAGTTGAGGCAGCGGGCCTAGGGAGAAGTGCACTCCGACTTAGAGTGACCTTCGCCCCCACACAAAGGGCAGAGAGAGAGACAGTCCCAAATCAGCGGAGGGCACCATGCCCAAACCTCCAGCACTTGTTACAGAGCCTAGGAGAAGGAATGTACTCTTGGACAGAGCACCTGGCACCAGCAAGAATGACAGAGGGTGGAAGGGTCCTACCATCAAAGGTAATCTTCACAACCCGAAGGGGTTGACGGCGACGACCACGGGGAAGAAGTCAGGAGGGTCAAAGGAGGACCAAGGTCGGGGCCCAACGCAGCAGGGGCTACAGAGCCCGGTCTTCCAATACAGGCCGACTCGGGGGCTTGGTCGCCCACCCCATGAGCCTGAGAGGGTACAACAGAAACATTCATCGACATACAGACGAAGATTGACAAATTCATCCACGAACGTGCCCCCATACCCACCATGGAGCCACAATTAGAGGCAGGACACCCAACAGAAAGCTATCGCCGATCATGCCGGGGCCTCCTAGGGGTGCGGTCTGAGTATACGCCCCACAAACG